CTGAGTTTTGGAAGCTCAACTTTGGAAACAGGTAAAAAACAGTATACATTAAACATTTCCAACTACAAAGGTTTGTCCATTCAAAATAAAGGATATAAGTTAGAAACTCTCATTGTAAAACAAAAATAAGACCATTACAATTCTTACTTTGCTTGTTAATGCGAGTATTTCCCTATGTACCGATTTTAACGTAGGCACTAAGGATTTCTAAGGAGCAGCTTGGCCAAACCCTAACATGTGAATGTGTTAGCGCCAATCTATCATTATTATTATTACAAATGTTTTCCAAACTTTCCAAAAGAAAATAAACTGACCAAACCCACGGGTACACAAAATAACACATAAAAAAATAACCATAACGACCTAGATTTATATATAGATAAGGACTGCTACTCCAGCATGATTCCCAAAAAACAGCGTATTTAAGTGTTCAGATCATTTGAAAAAATATTTTATTTTGTATAAATTTCCTTTTGAAATTAGGTAAGAATTAATACTAAATTGAAATAATATTTCAATCTTTAACTTCTGTTATTAAATTTAAATTTGATAAATGCTTCCAGTACTTTGGTCCCATGGAAAATCTTTCGACAAGAGTTGAACAAAGTACATCCTATATCATCTGGTCTAGAAGCAATGGCCCTAAAAACCACAATAGATTTAACGTGCAACGATTATATTTCAAATTTTGAATTTGACGTGTTTACGAGACTCTTTCAACCGTGGGTAACGCTGCTACGTAATTGGCAAATATTGGCTGTCACACACCCTGGATATGTAGCGTTTCTGACTTACGACGAAGTTAAAGCGCGATTGCAGCGTTACATCCACAAGGCTGGTAGCTATGTGTTCAGGTAGGTTATTAATATTCTATTTTATTGATATGTATCACTAACATTTATTTATGCAGATTATCATGTACTCGCCTCGGGCAGTGGGCGATAGGGTACGTTACCGCCGATGGAGAAATATTGCAAACCATACCGCAAAACAAATCATTGTGTCAAGCATTGTTAGATGGCCACAGGTGGGTTTCCATTTTCGTTACATTTTCGAAATAACCCTATTTGGATGCAATATGTAATTTGTTATAGGGAGGGGTTTTATTTGTACCCGGATGGTCAAGCTTGTAACCCCGATCTATCATCGGCAGTGCAGAGTCCTACGGAAGATCATATTACAGTTACACAAGAACAATATGAGCTATACTGCGAAATGGGTATGTTATATGCATATATAAAGAAGAAATGCTAGGTAACAAACCCAACTAAAAAAATTTCGATCCAACAGGTAGCACATTTCAATTGTGTAAAATATGTGCCGAGAATGATAAGGATATACGCATTGAGCCTTGCGGGCATCTACTATGCACGCCGTGCCTCACATCTTGGCAAGTCGACTCAGAAGGACAGGTAAGAAATTCGTTAAGTGTGTTATACAAATTAATTTTAACTAGGTCAACTTATCAAACGTAAAAATTATGTAGGTCATAAAAGAAATACATATATGTGTGTACATAGTTTTTCAAAGCGTAGTGTAAATTCAGCATTATGGCAATATAAGTCGTCTTTTGAACTATATTTACAAGTGCATACGTACGACATACATATATAGCTAAAAATTTGCATCTCCAAAACGGACAAAATTATGTTTATAGCTAGCCGGTCACGGAATGTATGCATATGTATGTACATTTACGTATTTGGAGAAAGAAATCATATGTCATCATGTACTTCGTTTATTATATACATAGCAAAACTTGTCTAAATCCGTTCAATAGCGTTGTTAAAATATCTCTATACTATGTATAGAAGATAGTAATTTTAAAAAGATGGTAACTCTACCCAAAAAACTTAAAGCTTTTGTACATGCAAAGGCCACGCATTTTCATTTGGTACCTCATTTTTTTTATCCAACGGTCGGTGAAGATCTTATAGTTTTTAAACAGGTGGCAACCCTACTCAGAAAAATAATACATTATTACACATCCTGAGGATAAGTATTTTACTTGTATATATGTACGTGAACCTAATGAAATAAAAACATCAAAGTAGGCACAGCTGATTTATAAATTCTGTCTATCACTGAAAGCCCAACAAATGTAGCTAACACACATGCTCACATATGCAAACAAAAAAAGCATCAGCTCCTTACGCTTTTTTTGAATATAGCACCTAACAAAAAAAACACTATTTTGGAGAAAGAGCGCGTTCACGAATTATATGCTAGGTATTAATTTTTAAATAGGTGGCAGCCCCTTTAAAAAAATAAAAGCTTATTTTTAAAAAGGTGGCAACCCTACTCAAAAATAATAGATTATCTTGAGGCCAAGCCTTTTCACTTCACATCTCCCTTTTTGTATTCATACCATGTTCGAGTGAAACAGTAATTTTTAAATAGGTGGCAACCCTACTCAAAAAGTAATACATTATTGGCACTTAGCCGAGACATTTTATTTGACACCTCATTTCTGATAATCCAACGAACAGTGCGGGTCTTATAATTTTTTATACAGGTGACAACCGTATAGAAACTCAACGTACTAAAGATAAAATTCCTATCGATACAGATTATACATGAAAAAATTCGTCTAAATCCGTTCAGTGGCATGGTCAAAATATATCAACTTTCCTTTATACTAAGTATAGAAAATAGTAAGTTTAAATAGGCGGCAACCCTACTTAAAAAATAATAAAGTTTTTGTACATGTGAAAATCATGCACTTTCATTTGGTATCTCATTTTGTAATCCAACGAACGGCGAAAATATTTTACCTTTTTAATAGGTGACAACCCTACTCAGAAAACAAATACATTATTGCGCATGTAGAGGCCAAGTCTTTTTGTTTGACAGTGACGGTACAGAACTGATGCCTACGCTTATTATGATTGAATATGGTAATTTTATTAACAGGTGGCAACCCTATGAAAAAAAATATTAGTGATTTCTAGAGGCCAATCCAGTTCCAGTGACACCTCATCTTTTGTAATCCAACGAACGGTGCGGATTTTATAGTTTTTTAGACAGGTGGACACCCTATTAAAATTCGAAGTAAAAGAAGATCCCCCTTTTGTCGATACAGAGTATATTAGAGAAAATCTCGACTTTCCTTTATACTATGTATAGATACGAGATTTATTAGTATTTTGCTTGTACAATAAAATTAAAAATTTTTATTCATTTGCATTGATGGTCCTACTTGATATTAATTGATACTTTTTTGTTTAATTGCAGGGTTGTCCGTTCTGCCGTGCTGAAATCAAGGGCACCGAACAAATTGTAGTGGATGCTTTCGATCCGCGAAAACAGCACAACCGAAATTCGACGAATGGCCGTCATCAAAATACCGACGATGACGATACAGAGGTATAAATAATAAGTAGCTTATTCTAGATTTTTTAACGCGCATCGCAAGTAACCCAACCAAAATATAAAAAATTTCAAACAACCAATCGGCGAGAAAAGTTAAAATCGATAGTAAACGAATTTACCCGGTCTGTAGTACTAACACTAAATTTGGCGTAAATGGCGTACATGTCAATGAATTTAACTGAACTTACTACTGCTATTTATGAGTTTCATTAGTTCGTATGTGATCTCAAACCAGAAAAGAGCATGAAGTTTAATTAAAAGTACCAATTGATTATTTTTTGTTGCACTAAAATTTTAAGGTGATCAAAATCTATGTAAAAGGTACTAAAAAGAATTATAAAATCCACAAAACTTCCTCAGAGTTTCTAATTCCAAAGGGTGTGATTGGTTGTTTGTTATTCTTGTTGGTAGTTATCTTGAGAGGGAGGCATAGTTTTGTTTGATCAAATGAAACACACAAACCTTTTTACAAACCTTTCTGTAAATAGTTGCTGTATTATCTATTTATTATACACTCATACATATACACACTAAATGCGCCCATACAAATTTCACATTATTATTTATTATTGTTTAGTTAGCTCGTATTTAACAATGTTTATGTGTTAAGTTGAAGTTTTTTTTTGATTTGAACTATGAATGTTTACGTGCTATTATACACATGCATAGTTATTCCAAAATATATATTTTATGTAAGAATGTAAAAGTGCTCTATCTAAACGAAAACATAATTTTTTTCACGAAGGCATTTGTGGTTTAAATGCGTTAAATGGATTAAGATGCTTCAAGTTCTATAAAGCAAATAATTCTAAAATCTGCAGTTTGATTTGCATAATTAATTTTGCATTAAGTGTATTTGACCCTTTTAGTGCTAGTGTTAACTAACATTCCTGAGAACGACACTTGAATAAATAATCGAAAATATATCTATATCATATTTTATATGGTTATCAAATATACAGCAAAAAACTTTCTGATCGCAGAAGTGAACATGGAATGGTGAAAAAATAAATCAATCCCTTTGCTATCATTTCTTTCGTANAAAAACATAATTTTTTTCACGAAGGCATTTGTGGTTTAAATGCGTTAAATGGATTAAGATGCTTCAAATTGTATAAAGCAAATAATTCTAAAATCTGCAGTTTGATTTGCATAATTAATTTTGCATTAAGTATATTTGATCCTTTTAGTGCTAGTGTTAACTAACATTCCTGAGAACGACACTTGAATAAATAATCGAAAATATATCTATATCATATTTTTTATGGTTATCAAATATCCAGCAAAAAACTTTCTGATCGCAGAAGTGAACATGGAATGGTGAAAAAATAAATCAATCCCTTTGCTATCATTTCTTTCGTATATTGATTTAACATGGCCATATCTTTGATGGTAATACCTCGCCATTTTGCTAGTGAGAAGCAAATAAGCCTAGATATGCCTTTCGAATAATGAATAAAAAAGAAGCAAAAAATATATCTTCATTCCATTGCCTTTGGAAGCGCTGCTTTTATTTTTGCTGGGTAGCTACAGATATACTTATTTGTACAAATCTATTTGTCAGTAAATTATTGACATCTTAAAAATAAAATTTTTAGATTTAAAATAGACCGCCATAAAGCACTAAAACTGTTTTGACTTCACGAGTTCTGGTAATGTAAATACATTGCTTTTTTGAAAACATGCTCTTAAATAATGTAATGAAACATGAAGTAAAAAAATGCTTACAATAAGAATTATGCCTCGTTGCACAAAAGGATCAAGTGTACTTTTTGACTAAGAAATCAACCAAAATTGTTTAAATTATGCAAAAAGAACGGTTCTAATTAAAAAAAAAAAAAACAGTTATATTGGTTCAAATTTGCCTAATAAAATATACATATAATACACTCGTTTTACAAGTTTTCAGACGTTTAGCCAAGAAACCCCTGATATTTTTTATTTTTATTTTTTGTTTGATCTAGTTTTATTTTTTATGAACAAACCTCCAAAGATANAATGAATAAAAAAGAAGCAAAAAATATATCTTCATTCCATTGCCTTTGGAAGCGCTGCTATATTTTTGCTGGGTAGCTACAGATATACTTATTTGTACAAATCTATTTGTCAGTAAATTATTGACATCTTAAAAATAAGATTTTTAGATTGAAAATAGACCGCCATCAAGCACTAAAACTGCTTCTACATTGCTTTTTTGAAAACATGCTCTTAAATAATGTAATGAAACATGAAGTAAAAAAATGCTTACAAAAAGCATTAAGCCTCGTTGCACAAAAGGATCAAGTGTACTTTTTGAATCAACCAAAATTGTTTAAATTATGCAAAAATAACGGTTCTAATTAAAAAAAAAAATCAGTTATATTGGTCCAAATTTGCCTAATAAAATATACATATATTACACTCGTTTTACAAGTTTTCAGACGTTTAGCCAAGAAACCCCTGTTATTTTTTATTTTAATTTTTTGTTTGATCTAGTTTTATTTTTTATGAACAAACCTCCAAAGATAAATAAGTAGCAATTAATTTACGATACATACATATTCATATTTTAATGTTATGCTGCAAAAGGAATTACGAACAAATATAAGTATGAGTCGTTCGTTGAGCATTGGCAGCGAAAATTTTTGATTCAGAAATCATTACTCTACATGTAATCCTTTTGTAGATATACTTATCTTTCAAGATTTGCATGTTAGGCATATCGTCCTCGCTTCTAATTTGCATACTTTAATGTACGTTTCATTTATAGGTACATATTATGTACGTATTTACACACATATACATACTTATATGTATATGTATATCATACTATTGTGAACATTTCGCGTGTTTTTTCCTAAAACTATCTATAAAGTTGTTAAAACTATTTTTGGATAGTGTACACTCCGCTGCCAGTGTCCAACACTGTTTGGCTTAAAGTCTATTATTTATGCATTCATTCTGCTATTCTAATACTTAGCTCTCGTTCTAGACACAAAAGAATATTGAAATCATGTGTAAAGTAATTAAACGTACATTCACATTATTGTATGTACATGCATCGCATATATTACCTAAGCAATATCTCTTTAACAGCAATTAATAAATAGAACATTCATCATCAAAGTATATACCGCCAAGTGTATAGTTCGCTGCGTAAACATTTTGCTANATTTTGATTCAGAAATCATTACTCTACATATAATCCTTTTGTAGATATACTTATCTTTCAAGATTTGCATGCTAGGCATATCGTACTCCCTTCTAATTTGCATACTTTAATGTACGTTTCATTTATAGGTACATATTATGTACGTATTTACACACATATACATACTTATATGTATATCATACTATTGTGAACATTTCGCGTGTTTTTTTCCTAAAACTTTCTATAAAGTTGTTAAAACTATTTTTGGATAGTGTACACTCCGCTGCCAGTGTCCAACACTGTTTGGCTTAAAGTCTGTTATTTATGCATTCATTCTGCTATTCTAATACTTAGCTCTCGTTCTAGACACAAAAGAATATTCAAATCGTGTGTAAAGTAATTAAACGTACATTCACATTATTGTATGTACATGCATC